GACAAGATTAAGGGATCTAAGCTTGATGAAATCGCTTTATACGGCTTCTAAACAGTACCTTGGGTTAGACGTGGCTTTCACCACCCAACACCCCCCGCCCCACGTTAGGTCAGACTGCATCAGTAGATTGTGTTCGCTGTCACTGATGGAGAAGAAAGCGCAGTGAGTTTACATTTTCGCCTAGATTCGTAGTAACGAAGACAGGGTTAGTTCCTGGGATCATGGGCAGCTTCACCCCCAGGGGCAGATCCACCCCCAGGGGCAGATCCACCCCCAGGGGCAGATCCACGGGCTGAGCTGCTCCCATCTCCGCAAAGCGGGTTTTGTGCGCCCCCTGTTTGACAGAATTGGGGAGGGTTGTGTCTCTTTATGGAACTCTCATTTACTCCAGGCCAAGTCTTCCCACTTCCACCGAGTGAGCAAAGCCGAAGGGCCGGCCCAGAGGGTCGCTCCCCTCTCCCTCCTCCTGCGACCCCAACCCCTGCGGTGACCCCCAAACCCCGTGACCCCGGTCCGCCGTGACCCCAACCGCCTGGTGTCCCCGAATCCCCCGGTGACCCCGATCCCCGAGACCCCGACCCCTCGGATCCCCCAGCCCCGGGGCCCCATCCCGAGTCCCCTGCGAGGCAGGACCAGGGCGGCGGCCGAGCGGCACTCATGTCCCCACACTGCCTGCTGTCCGCGGCCAGGGTGCTGGCTGCCGTCCTGGTGGCGGTGCCGTGGGCGACCTTGGCGCAGGCGCCCACGTACAGCTCCATGGTGGCCGCTGTCACCGTCCGCGCCCAGTCCCCGCGATCCGCTCTGACCCGATGGCCACGGCCGCGTTCTGACTCCCGAGCATTCCGGGCCAGCGGACAAAGGGGCCACGTCTCTCTCCCGAGCCCTGGCCTCCTGGGAGGCCTGCGTCGCACCGGGCGCTGTGGCGGGAAGCGGCCGAGCCCTGAGCCCTCGGAGCCGGCTTCCGCGCGGTGGTGACATCCACGAGCGGCGGCCGTTGGGCTGGGGTCCGCAGCTCCCCTCCGACCCCGCGGTGCCTCCCCAGGTCCCGAAGGGCAGACCCAGCTTCCCTCTGCCTCTCTCCAGGGGCTCCCTGCTTCTTCCTCCTCACTGTCCCTTTCCCCTCTTCATTCTGCTCAGCCTTGCAGCCCCAGTCTCTAGATTCTGCCTTCTGTGGGCCCGGCATTCCTGTCTTTAGGCAGCTACTTAGATCTTACCTTCTTTGAATCTTTTCCTCAAGAAATGACACAACTTGTCATCCCTATGATATATGCAGTCTGACATTCACTTATTTTGTACCAAACCATTGCTTCAGCCTACTACCAATTCACTTCTATATTAAAAAGCATACATCTTTCCTTCACTTCAGTTAATTTATGTGAACATTTTCAACTGTTTTTGGAATATTTATTTTGTTTTCAAACAGATATTTCATTTTTTATATAGTTAACAAATCATGTGTGAATGTTTGTCATGTGGAATAATAGCTTGCAATATTGCATGACCTCATTATCAAGCTTAAATTAATCCTAGTAAGCAGTACATATCCACGTGGGAAGTAGAAATAATACTACAAAGAAAAGTGGGAATGTAAGATAGGACTTGCTGGATTCCTAGTGAATGGAATGCTATGACATTTTCAGAGCTGGGGAGGGTATGCAAAAGGCTTTATAAAGGAAGGCTGTACCATAGAGAATGACTGGATTTTGTTAAAAAGAATGTTTTCTGTCTGGTATTTAATTTAATGTGACTTCTGATCTACTAATGTACTAATAGAGTAATATAAAAGAGTTGCATTTTCCATTTCATCTGTCACAAAATGTAAAATAAAAATTGCATACCTATAATATAACCTGAGCCTAAAATTCATTTATTAGTAAAATTGAATAATGTATATACTTTCTAAAATCTAGAAATGATGAACCGTAATTAATTCACAAGATATGAAACCCATTTGATATGAAAATGAAATGAAAGAAGATTGACTTTAAAAATTGATTTTAAGTACTTGGCCAGGGCCATAGGTGGGTGGCTGCATTCTTGTTCCGTGGGGGGAGGCTGGGAGGACAGAAGTAGAAGGGAGAAGTGGTAGGGTGGAGGGACCTGGGGGGAAAAGGCAGAAACTGTGGTCCTTGAACCCAGTGGTTTCCAGGCTGGCTGGCTCTGCCCTTTCCTACCCTAGCAGTGCGTCTTTGGGCAAGCGGCTTTCACCTCTTAGAGGCCTGGTATCTCCTTTATGAAGAAATAACAATAATGATTTTTAAAACCCTCAGAGGGGCGGGGGATTTAGCTCAGTGGTTCCGGTGCCTTCCTTGAAAACACAAGGTCCTGAGTTCGATCCCTGGTACCAAAAAACAGAAAAAGAAAAAAAAAAAAACCCTCAGAGTGCCAGGAGGATTAAATGAGAGACTACATGTCAAGTGCGTGGCATGGAGAGTTTTGTTCTCCAGGGGAGGCAGGGACCTACGCCCGTCCCTCGGCCCCCGGGAGAGGCAAGTTCCACCAAGGCCCGCGGGGGCGCTCTGGCAACTTTCCCAGAGCCAGCTCCCCCTGGGCTGGCCGTCGCGAGTCCTCGGCCCAGCCGCCCCCTGCCCCACCAGCATAGCCTGGCCTCGTACAAGCGCCTTTGATCTGCAACCTTCAGGGGGATTAAGAGCCAGAGAGCCTCGCTCCCCGGGGTCCCTCGCTCCACCGCCCTCCCCCAGGCTGACCTCCCAGTCGGCGGCCCGGGCTGGGGGCTGGCTCTGCCAGGGTGGTCCCCGTGCTCTGGCCGCCATGCCTCTGAGCAGGCACCATGGATTACTGGGGGCGGGGGGGGGGGGGTGGGGGGGGGTGGCGCCTCCTGGACATTTTGGCCCGGGATTCGATGTAAAGTGTTTAAAAAGAAAAACTCTCGAGGAGGACGTAACCTTTTCTTAACATCTGGGGCTCAATTAGCTAATGACAGCAAAGTCTTCTCCGGTGTCGCTGACCCCTGGGCAGCAGCCCAGCTCCCCCAAGCCCCGGTATTTATACAGCTGCGGCCCCTCGCTGGGACGGGGGCAGGGGGTTTGGCTGGGTTATCTCTGCTGAGATCCACCGCCCACCCCCAAAAAGAGAGAAAAGGCTCAGCACGGCGTCCCACCCACCGCCGGCCCTCCTGATCGCAGCTACTCTCCTCTCCCAGTCCCCGAGTTCTGTCTCCTCTCCCTCCTGCCCCTGCCTGCCTGTCTCTTCTCCCCTCTTTCTGTCTCCTCTCTCCCCAGTGGCCTCCCCTGCTCTGGCTCTCTGAATGGCTCCCTTGTTTGCCTTCCGGGTTCCTGTCTCCCTTCCTGGGCTCCTTTCCTTCATGCCTCCTGACACTGCCCATTTTGAACCCAGGCAGACTCCCTTTCTACTCTGTCTTCCTTTGGTACAATCAAAACAGGCTGGAGTCTTTTTTAAAAAATCACCAATACGAAAGAGAAGATCAATAAATGCAGAAACTATAAATAACACCAAAGTCATGTCCAAAGGCAGTTTGGAGTAGCAAAGGAGACCCCAGGATTTGGAATAAAAGAAGCAGAGATCAACTACTACCTGTGTTGCTTACAAAAGTCTGTCATCTTGGGGAAGTCACGGGCCTCATCTATAAAACGGGCATAATAATAGTTATTAAACAATAACAAAACAAAACAATTGATTTTAATCAGCAGATTAAACAAAGGTTCATAAAATATTAACCTGGGTACGTAAAAATTTACAAGATATTTAGTCTTTCTGCCTTATTTGGTGCAGATGAAGAAAATCATATCTCTCCAAGTCATTTTTGGAAGATGAAAATTATTTTATATAATGTACTTATTTATGCACACATTTTTATCATTCATTCTGTCTCTAGAATTTTATTTAAAAATTCTCATTTATGTTGATTAAAAATACTAAATCCTTAAACGTTTCAAAATTTAATACAGTGATAGATCCTTTCCTTTTTTAGTCATGGTTGCTGAAGTCATATTTGAACACTCCAGAGCTGAGGTTCTACTAAGCAGAGCCATTGGAAAGATTGAACTAAAATAAGCTGGGCCAGAACCAGATATTTGTGGTTAATACTTAATACTGTGTAAATGTACAGCATTAGTGTGTCTAGTCCACCTACCCTAATCATATATCTTCTTCTTAAATTTCATGCTTCTCTGAACATCACGAGAGTTGTAGAAATAAAGAAGACTATTAGCATAATTGGATTTATGAAATAGTTACGTATAGCAGATATGGGAGAAATTATCTGAATTCATTTGATGTTGGTTTTAATGTAGTTAAGATGAAGGGTAAATGCCCACAAAAATATTTTACATACAACCTCTTTTTCATTCACCCGCTGATATGTGTAACACTTCAGATGTGAAAATTTTAGTCAGCTGCATATAGTGCTGCAAGACTATTGTCTGGCACAGAGCAGGTAGCATTTTTGTGCATACAAGTAAGTTATTAATAATTTCAGAGGAAAACCAAGCAAAATAGAACACTTCCTAGGAACTTTTGCAGCTTAAAAAACAGGACTTTTTTTTTTTTTTTTGAGAAGTGAAAGTAATACTTGGAAGACATTATTGTGGTTTTTCCCTATGGGAAACCACAGTTGCAAAAGTGATAGCATCTTATTTCAGACATCTAGGAGGGAAACTTATGCAGTCCAAGCTGAGGAAACCAAATGATTGGGCTCCAGTACCAGAACTGCTGGAAAGTAGGAGAGGAGTCCCCAGAAAAGAAAGGTCTCTGCTCATTCCCTGAGTGATCACAGAACTGGAGGTCCAACTGAAAGCAGTGTGCAACAGAAGGCTGAGAAACTGATGGGAGCACTGATCTCTGCACTCAGTGTGGGACTGCATAACCTTTGTTCCTTTTCTCCAGCCCCAGTGTGATTAAATATGAGTTAATGGATAAAGATGCTTGTTAGTTTTGGGACACTAGATAAAAATCTGTAACAGACCTAAAGTCCCAAAGTAAACTACTCAACTCCTTGTTTTCCTGGAACTGATGTTCCAGACACCACAATCTATAGAACAAGTTGCAAATGTCTGCTGACCATCAATACGTGACAGTCGACCACTAACCTTTGTCCCCTTTTCTTTAATTCTATGTGTTAACTTCCCCCTCAACTCCCTATAAGAACAGCCTCGGACTCCGAGCCAGTTGCCTCTCTAAGCTATTTTGCTTTGGGAGTGCTTTCTGGCCAGACTAATAAAGGTCTGTTTTATTTTCCAACTTGTCCGGTGTGTTCCTTCCCGGGTGTTCTTCACTGCAGTCAGCTCCTCGGAGCATTTGGTAAGGCCCTCGGTCTTACATTTTGGAGGCCTCAGTGAGACCCTGAGTAAGGAACCCCGGTTCAGCCAAGACTCTGTGGCGGGATCCAGCAGGAGACTCTCAGGCACAGACCTCAGAAAACCTCTGGAGGTAAGTTTTTGGCTGGTTGCAACTGTTTGTTGTCAGGAGTGAGGTGGCAGACAGACTGGTAAGGCTCCCCTGACCCCAAGGTTCCTGAAGAGAAATAAGAGAAGGTTTAGTTTCAGTTTTGTTGTGGCGCCTGTTCATCTTGTCATTCATACATTAGTGTCCTGTCCGTCGTGTGTTTAACTTTGTATTTCTTTCCAAACCATCAGGACAGAGATGGGAGGATCCTGCTCCAGAAATACCCCATTGGATTGTTTTCTCACTAATTTTAAATTGGCTTTTTCCCCCCCGAACAGGAGAACGAATATGG